GGTTCACGCTGGGTGCTTCCTCCCTCCTTCTCTCCCTCCAATAAACAAGCTAAACCCATGAACCCAAGCTGGTTTGCTGAGGCTGATGCACATCTGAAACGTGGGAAACGGTAGGTTCGGTTCCTTCCGTTGTTCCCCCAGTGATCAAAAACGAGACTTCCCCCGGCTCTGGGCTTTGGGACCCACAGGGACCACCGCTCCTCAGCCAGTTTACATCACTTCTACCAGGAGCAGGAAGCCTTTCCTAAATCTCAGAGCAAGCTGGATGAAAGACCCCCAGCCAAACACTGGCGCTATGTAGGCGGTTGCGTGAGGCGGCGCCCAAACAGGTGGGTTAGCAGTGGTGTGAGACCCAGCTCGCTGGCAGAGCGCACGCCACCACTTGTGCGGGCTCTGGTGATGCCAAGCGAGCAGGGCCATAGGTGTACGCTTTGGGAGTGAGAGGTCCTCCTCTGCACGGAGACCTTTGCTGTCACGTGTCCGGTGTGGACTGGTTTCTCAGCTGCCCTGGTTAATTTTGTCATAATACTTTTTTTTGAACTAGAAATTATTTGAAAGTGCATCCTTCAGTGTGGAGCGTGTTTTGGGGAATCAAGTTACTCATCTAATCCAGGTTCATATGTTTATTTAATTAAAAAGCAAATTCCCTTGCTGTTTTTGTGAGAAGCCATAAGGATCCCAGTTGGTTTTGACTGTCACTCCTTTAGGCTTGTGAGTGTTTTTCCATATGCAGGTTGAAGTTGCTGGGCCAGTTTCTCTGCTAACTTGTCTCCTCTGTAAGTCGGAGTCACTTCAGTAGAGAATTTGGCTTTCTGGCTTTAGTTTAGTTTAGGTTTTAAGCTTGAAGCTGAGATTTGCATTGAGCTTGGGTCAGTTTAAGGGCTCTTCTTAAGCACCAGCTCCTGCCAGCCTTTTCCTGCTTGCCCATCGCTCTGCATTGTGGTTTTGGAAATGAGCTTTGTGAGAAGCTGTTTTGCAATACAGGATATGATTAGCAGCGTGCACAGCTTTCCCTTTCGGTCCGTAAGGCTCTGCTGCTCCCTAGTATAGCATGTCACTGCTTGCGGATTTCAGTTTTTGCTCATTGAGCAGCAAAGACCGATCTGCATCGGAGTTTTCCTAAGCCCTAGCCAGACACTTCAGAAGGGTTTGTAAATTTAAGCGTTAGCGTCCAAAGTCAGAGGATTAAATCCAAGACTGAATTTTAAGGAGGCTCTGGTTTAAGCCTGTATTTGCTGCAACCAATCCGGTTCTTGATCTAGCTCAGTATCTAGAGAAGCCCCTTGCCCTGTTGCCACATGAAAAGATTTTTCTGTGTTTACAACATTATGAGCGTTTTTTGGTTCAGTGTCTGGTCAGCTGGAATTGTGTGATTTCCCCAGGTTGGCCAGTGCTGTGCCAGCTCTGGGGCAGCCTGTCCTTAGAGTATTTGAGGGGGGAACTGGAGTGCCCATCAGTTTGGGGTGTTAGGCTCCAGTCTTGGACTTACCTGTTGGGTTTTATTCCTCCGCTCGAAGGAGTATCCCTGTGGAAGAGAAGGCAAAACCTTGCTTTTAATGAGTTCAAGATGTTTCACTAGCCCAGTGTTTAATGTACCCCTTGCGGGAGGGGGAGTGCACCAGGTAGATGGAGCAGCACATCTCTCCTGTATCAGTGGAGTTTCCATTTAAAAAATGCAGTTTCAGAAAAGCACCATGGGGAAATAGTTATCATTCCCACACTATCATTATGGCTGAAACATCCAAATCCATTTAAGGAATCAAATGAAAAGGAATTTGGCGTCCAGGCTTCCTTAGAGGCTCTGAAAATCTCAGAGGTGCGTGGACAACATGTTTTGTGTCTCAAATCTTTGCTGCGGTATCTCAGTGCTGGGGAAATAAAGCAATGCCAAGAAGTAGAAGGGGAATAAAGGAATGAAAGAATCTAGTAATGTGGTTATTCAGAGGAGGAACGCTGCTGCACGTTCACAAAGGCTTAGCCTCCATTGACAGCTAAAGGAGAAAGACGTCTCTCCCAAGGCGGCTTTGTCTAAATAAAGCTCCTGATCTGACTCCATTAGCAGTGAGTTGTGAAAATTAGTTTTGCTCTGTGACAGTGTTGTGCTTAATGAACCTACATAAAGCCAGATTTCGTGCTCTGATATGCCGGTCTCTGCTCTGCACGTCTTGCACTTGAGATGAAGAGTTTCAGGATACGCAGTGGGTGAGGCAAGAAGGTGGGAATCGAACAGATCAGCAAGCCGTGTTAACATTGGGGATTGCCATAGACGCTTACACAGTGACTGTTTATTTTGGAGGTCAGTCATCCTGCCTGCTAAGTGATTTCCAGCATTCTTAACAGTGTGCTCATTTTTACTCACCGGTTTGTCTCCACGCTGCTGCCATCTAGCAAGCTAGGACTTGTTTTGGTGGAGATGCTCACACCTCTGTTGCAGTCGAGGACTCCTGGTCACGTTTTGTGACAGGAGAATGCACTAAGATTGCCAAACGCTGGAACCTCTTGGCCATGCACAAAACACAGCTCCGACTGTTTGATTTCTTCTCTGTGTATTTTTAACAGTCTCCAAGAGACTTATGAAGCGAAGAGGAATGAATTCCTGGGTGAACTCCAGAAGAAGGAGGATGAAATGAGACAGATGTTTGTCATGAGAGTGAAGGAAAAGGAAGCAGAGTTGAAAGAAGCGGAGAAAGATGTGAGTATGTTGTAACTCAGAGGATCGTGTGTGAGAGTGTGGACTGGGGTTTCTCCAGGAGAGCCCCGAGAAGGTGGTACTTGCGTTCCAACGTTGAGCCTGGAAAGGGGCTTGCCTGGCATAAGTGGTTGCGGGGAGCAGATGTGGACTTATTTCCTAGCTCTGCCACAAACTTGTGACACGACCCCATTGCATAAGTCTTCTGCCCCGATTCTCTGCCTCTAAAGTGGGGCAGGAGTATTCCCTGGCCTTGGGCAGCCACTTGGAGCGGAAGGCGCTGCGGCGTGACAGTAATGGCTGCTGCAGCTTCCTAGCTCCGTGGAAACGCCAGCCTTTCTGCGCCGTGGGAGTCCTCTCTGCTCCCTCACCTTTCCCTTCCCACCCAAAGGAGAGAAAGTGTGTGTTGTTCAGAGTAATGTTGGTTTGCAGTGGATCTCTGGCTATGCTACAGCCAGCACTGCCCTTCTTGCAGGCTCTCCTGCCTAGAGACTTTGAGTAAGTAGATGAGGTTTCCTTGGGCTCCCTGGAGGGCAGCAGGTCCCACTCAGCGCAGTCATAGAGGGGTATAACAGAACTATCAGTGAGTGCTGCCCAAACATGATTTCCTTAGTGCATGCAGCCATGTTGTCTTGCTTTGCACAGGCAAGAGTGAGTCTACTAGGTACAAAGCAACGCAGGATGGGACGTGAGGTTTGTAACTGCCCAGAGACCTGTGATGTTCCTATAGGTTAATTCCCCTCTGTCTATATGCACTACTGCAGGGCTATTCTCACAAGATTAGACACGCTCATGACAGGCAAACTGGCTTGTTATGTAGTGAGATCTCTCCAGGCATTGTTACCAGTAATCGGAGTAAAATGTTCTTCTCTTCCCCTCCAATTCTTGTTGCCTTTGTCCTGACAGCTCCATGAAAAGTTTGACCATCTAAAGAGGACTCACCAAGAAGAGAAGAAAAAAGTAGAAGACAAAAAGAAGGAGCTTGAGGAAGAGCTGAACAACTTTCAAAAGAAGAAGGCAGCAGCTCAGCTATTACAGTCTCAGGCTCAGCAGGCAGGTTCTCAACAAACCAAGAAAGACAAGGACAAGAAAAAGTAAGCGGCTGTCACCCACACCCTTTGTAGGATCTATTACAGTTTGGGGGGTTGTTCTTTCTCTATCTCGCTGCATGTCTGTATTTGCTTTTCCCCATTACCAGACTGGAAACTGGGCTTTTACCAGCCTGATCAAATAAAATATTTTTTTTCTAAAGGGTGGGTCAGGGACAAGATCTTAATTTGTCTTTAGAAGAACACCTTAAAACTTTATGTCAAAGTCTAACTGGTATGGGAGAGCAATCCAGATGGTGGAGGTTTGACCTATGACGTGCCCAGCAGCTTCTGGAACAGGCTCTGGGATGTTCTGGACTCAAATTTATCTGCCTGAGCCAAAATTAAAAAGGGGGCTGTACTCATCCTTCCTTTCACCCGAGGGTAGTCCCCTGTTCCTGTTCTTTAAGGTTATGGTTGTAAGTAGAAGTAGATGAGAAACCAAAAACGCCATGTTGTTTTTACATGGAGAATCCTAGTGCCAAAAGTGAATACTCAGAGGCTTGCTTTAAAGAAAAAAGCTTTGATTTTGTTTTTATTTTTAAAAGAGAAAACAACAAAAACTATGGTACCATAATTACACGTAAATGTCATTTGTGGCTTTATCAAGTTGACGAAATAAGCTAAGAAACCCATACCTTTTTAGTAGAGATAACGGCATTGTTTTCTACTCTTTTATTTTCGTATGCTAGGAGTATAATACTGCGCCCTCCAATACTCTTGAGATCCAGCAACTTCAGTAGGAACCCGGTGTATCTGTGGACAGAGTCTGTCCTGTGGTCAGCATTAGCGGTGGGATTTTCAGATGCGCTCGGTTTTGCACCTAACTCTGCTGCCCCCAAAACTGGAGGAACATTGCCATTGATTTGGGCTCAGAGTTAAGTCCCTGGAGAGCTCAGCTGGAAGCCTTGCCCTAAAGCTCCCAATTAATTCTTATTAACGTAACCTCCTCCTTGCAGCCGATACTCGGAGATGGCTATGTTTAGCTTGCTATTAGTGTAAGAGGCTCGTATTTTTCTACGTTATACTGGCTATTTCACTGTGCTCAAAGCCAGGACGCAACGTCCGTTTGGACGTGGTATGTACAGTGAAGTCCGACAAACCCTGCGCAGGCGAAGCAGACTGTGCATGGCTTGTCTGCATAGCACAGCAAGACAGTTTACTATAACAAAGGCCGCTTCGAGGCCGCCTATCGTAATTTCCATCCACTTTTTCCATACTCTTGGGGGATACTCTTGCAAGTCCTTTCTGGGTCATCTGTGATAACAGAGCCAATCTATAACTGCAATCAAGAAAGTTGTAAAGAGGGAAATTCAGTTAAGTCTCATCAGAAAACACTTCTTTTTTTTTTATCCACACACAGAAAGGACAGTTCCACACTTCTTGTATTAGGTGATAGTGAAATAGCGTATTTCTTAGTCAACTCGGGCAGAGTATCCTTCATAATTAACGCTAAGCCATCGCTGTTGAAAGAACCGAAATGCTAGTAGGGATGTGGCGTAGATACTCTTGTCCCTCCTGCTTACCTGTGAACTTCAGCCAGATCTGAGCTGCCTCTAGCGTGAGCCTAGGAGGCTTTATTGTATTGCATATATGCTGGTATATTTTTATACTTTGGGACGTTACTCTGACGCTCGCTGCACATCCCCTGTTTCTACTGCTGGATAGGTGCCCGTCATTCATTGCTGTTCTGACCCTGGGTCCCCGGAGGAAGGAGGGGAGGGCCGAGGGCTAGTTCCTCAGCTGATGTAAATTGTTGTAGCTCCTATGGAGCCGTGCTGCTTTATGCTAACTGAGAACCTGGCCTTCGGCACCCATTGAAATACGTAGAGAGCTTGTACGCTGCATGCTCTGCTTGGTTAAAGACGTTACGGACGCTGATCACAGTGTCATGCCTAACGGCAGAACCGGTAAGTGTCCGGCAGGTAGCGTCCGAGCGTGCTGAAATACCGATCCCTGACGATGCCTGCAATAGGATAGGCTGAAACACGGGTCTTCTCTCATGTGAGAATCCAGACCTGGTGGCCCTTTTCCTAAAAGTAACAGACACTTTCGAAGATCCCTTTTTCTTATCTCTTAAACAGAGTTGCTCGTTTAATGTTTATGAGAGCTCTGCAACAGATCGCTTCACCTCTTAGATGTGAGACCAGAGCAGTACTTAATGAGCTGGGGAGTTTTGTAACTGTTGGTAGTGGGTGTTAGCTGCTGGTTGCTTCTGTGAAGTTGGCTGGCACGTGCACAGCATTGTGGGTATAATGCACCGATGTTTCTTGTGGCCATCCCATACAACGCAGTTTCTGCTTTGCCGATGCATTCACAGAAATCCAGGCTTGAGGAACGTGCACGTGTTTTAAGTAGTGTGTCCTTTCAGTGTCGCTCCACACCAGGTGTCGTACCTGCTTAAATCGTTCTCTAGCGTCTGAATTACTAACGGAGGCTTTGAAGGGACATGCTGATGCTTCTGCATTGTAGCACACCTTGGTTTTTCTGAAGGCTTTACGTTTCTCCTTGCACTCTAACAAAAAACTGCAGATGGTATAGGTAAGGCTCTCAAGCTTGCTCTGTGGTGACACGGACTGTGGCGGTGCTCACACAGTTGCTGGAGGAACTCTTTGCCGCGCTGTGAGCGTGATCCTCGTAGCCTCCCCAGAACATAACTCGTGGGAATGCTCCTTTCCGAAGGTGGGATCTGATTTCTCTCACTTGGACAACGGAGACTTTCCTCGGTGTTGTGCAAGCTGGAGGGAAGGCCCAGGGCCAATTTGCTGCTGGCTTAACTCCATGAGGGACAGCTTGGCCCTCTTGATTTGCAGACTGTCCTCACGGGAACAAGGAGTTGGTTTTTTTTCCCTGCCTTTCTTTTTTTCTACTCCATTTCCCTGACAGCAGATTCCTGTAGCTTGTGCTTTTTTTGTCTGAGACTGTTGCAGCTCTGGCCTGGCGTCAGAGAAGCGTGCTGGTTTTGGGACAGCATGTATTTGTGCTTGTGTCTGTAACATTGTCATTCAAGTACTTTGCTGAATCTGAGGTTGACCCAGTTATCAAGCCCCTGCCATAATTTTTGGATGGGACTGTGCTTCAAACTTCTACCATCCGTTTTAAAATAGGAGCAGCAAAAATAGCGTTTTGGTGCTTGCCTGTTGTTTGGTAGATCACCACGTGCATGCCTCACCACGTGCCTTCGCGTTACTCGCTCGTCCTAAACGCGTCCAGGAGCCGGGACCATGTGTTTGGGCTCCGTTTCTGTTCCTTTCAAGCTGCTTCTGAAAACCAGATGAAAAGCTTTTTTCCAGCTTCCTTTCAATACAAGTAATTTCCCGTCCGATGGGGCTATCTGGCTGTCTGGGGCCACGTTTAGTCCCAAAGCAAATCCCTGAGCTACAGCATGCAGCAAACATATTTCAGGGCTTGGCCCAACACCCTGTAAAAAGAGGTTTTTGTTAATATCTGAAGGATCTGAGTTGGGCCTGAAAATCCATGTTTGCTGAGGTGCTGGGGGACCTCTCGGTGCCAAGCTTTGAGATAGCTACGTTTCAGGAAGGGCTACGCGCCAGCCTTCTGCGAGAGCGCCCGTGTTAAAGTAATTCAGCTTGGACACCCGCGATCGTGCACCCCACATACTCTTTATGAAAAAACCCCACAGCTTGAAGTCACCAGTCAAGTAAACCCTGTAACCTTGACTAACTTAAGTGCTCGGTTGTTCAGTTCTTCCCCCTCAGTTTTTCTTTTTGCTTTTGCTTGTCGTGTAGTTGACCCAGCTCTTAAGGTTTAATTTCTTTTTAATTCCATAATCCATCTGCATGCTCACCCCCCAGAGCGGGTTGCTGGTGATGGCTCTCCCAGCTTTCCTTGATTTACTTTTTCTCACTTAGGGTTCTATTATTGCTAACTTTTTTTTTGTTTTTTTGTTCTTTTTTTTTAACTTGCAGTGCAAGCTTCACATAAAGCCTGTCAAGCCAAGGATGTTCCTGCATTCACCTGCTTTTGCAGTAATGTGTCTCTGCCATCTGTTGTTGTTTTTTTTTTTCATATATATATATTTTTTAACACAAATAACTATTAACTCATCTAATAACATAGTGGGAACAAGAAGGAAAAAGGGTTGGGTACAGGACTACTTGCAACTGGAAATTCAGGGATGAGTGGACTGGGAAGGTAACGATACCATGCATTTTTTTTCCGGTCAAAACCAGCAGCAGTAAATCGTTCTGGCCCTGGATTTGAATTGGGAGCTAAGGCCTGGACGTCAGCGAGCGTCGGTGACTGCATCAGGTCGTAAACGTTGCTGACACTGTCCTGCCTACCCAAAGGGCCAGCTGCGGTTCCCTGTGCTGAGCAGCGCCCTGTGCCCGCAGAAACCAGCCTCAGGGAGCTACCGTCTGCTCTGCCGGGGGGGTTACAGCCCTGCGCACGGCGCTGAGTGCTGCCGGACCCCGGCGTTTCAGTCCGGCCCGTATTCCTCCAATAGCTAACATGTTAGAGCAATGCGAGTCCCGCTGTTGTACGGGGAGGGAGGGAGGGGGGGAAATACGTGTGTATAGATAACAAAAATTTAACTGACTTTGCATGCCATTACATTTGCATGATTTTTTGTCGTGTGTGGTTTTTTTTTTTTTTGGTTTGTTTTTTTTAAAGTTACCGTTTTTGTTGTCTGACTGGATAATACTAGTTGGCCTGGGTTTGTGTCATGTGCTGGCATATTCTTGCAGTCACCCTTCCAGTTGAGCGTAGTCGCTGCTTGCTGAATGCTGCAGTGGTGCCTAGAGGAGGGACAGCTTCTCGTTAGCGCTTTCCCCGCCTTACTCCCCTGACCGTAAGCTTTGAAACCGGGCTTAAAATGGTACTGGGTTTCAAACGCGTATGATCCTAGCAGCCTTGTAGGAAGCCAAACGCCCGGGGCAAGGGGGACGACGGCATACTTCAACGGCCTCTTACCGCTGGCAGGGGCGTTCCTGCGTGCACTTACGTACAGCCTTGCTTAGTCGCAGGATCCAGATCGTGGCGGGGGAGTCCCCGTTCGTGGTAACCACCATTTGGCAGATAAAACAGGTGATTTAGGGCCCCGTCCCTGGAGTTGCAACTCATTTCCAGGGCAGCAAACGTGCTCGCTAAGTCCTGCTTGCCTACGAGGGCCGCCACGGTGCATCGGAAAGGTAACAGCTCAACCCCCGGGCTAGCTTTGCACGGCAGGGGAAAGTTTGAGATGAGCGCTCTTCCAGATGCTAGTTTGCGTTAAGGAGCAGCCGTTCGTTACCAGCAGGAGGTTCGTTACCACCTGAGAGCGACTTGAGCTCCTCCCGGGGACCGGACGGAGCAGCCGAGGAGGCAGAGACAGCGCCGGACGCGGGCTCCCCTCCGGCCCCGGGGCTGACGGTGCCCCTCCGGGATTGCAAACACAATCTAGCGTAAGCCCGGCCTCGCTCTGTGGCCAGCGCAGTAGAAACATCGATCAGCTCGTTTAATTGGCATTTTTCTATGCCATTGCTTTTTCGGACAGAGTCTTTCTCTTCCTTCCCGGGAAGTGGCGAGCTGTGTTTACCCTATGACTTCTGGATTTCTTTCTCTTCTGCTGATGTACTGCCAGCGCTTCCACTGCTCCTAGCTAGGTAGCCTCCTGTTTCCCTCTCTAAAGCACTCCTAAAAATAACCCTCTTCACCCAAGTCTCACGCGCTCCAATTCTTTGCTTGTTTCTGGGATGCAGTTTCTTGCCTCTGAATGTTAATAAAGGCAGAATTATCACCTTTTTTTCCCCAAGTGTTGGGTTGGGAAAGGTGTTTGGGGACTCTTTTTTTTAACACTCACTGCCTAAACATGGCTTTTGGGAAAAGGATGTCTAAATATGCTACCTTGAACAGATGGCAAAATTTGGCCAGAGATAGAGAAGCTGGAAATAAAACAGTTGAGGCTTTCTCCTCCCCTCTCCCCCACCCCCTTTTTTTCTTTTCCTTTTGAAGTGCATCTCCTGGTCCTATCAACCATGATGTACGATCGTCAGGTTAAATAGGTTTTTTCGAGGGGGGAGAGCTGCTTAGAAAAACCAAACCAAACCACGGTTCTTGGGGTTTCCGGCAAACCCAGCCCTCAAATCTTGAGTTATTGGGGAGGAAACGAGTTTTCTGACGTGGCTTTTGGGCAGTCCCATCGTACGCGCACGTCTCAAGCTGGAGGCTTGTGGCAGTAAGCTTTGCTTCAGCTGTCTCTGTGCCTGTCCTCTTCTCAATTACCAGCGTTTTGTGCCAAGTAGAAAACTTAATTTTAACATTTATTCGTCCTGCTTCATTTAACAGGCCTTGCGAGGGGCGTTTGGCAGGGGAAATCGGCTGAATCTAGCTATTTTTGGTTTTGACAGAAAACTGTAGCCAAACACATTAATGTGTTTTTGGTTGGGTTTTGCCCTCCAGCAAAAAGCAAGCTGTTTTGGAGGAACTAGGAATAAAGCGGTAACTTGCCAAAGTGAAAGGTATTCTTTGGGGGGGTTTTGGCCAAAGGAGATGTTAATGACCCCCCTTTTTTTTCCTTAACCCCTTGGGCCATGTTTAGCTTGTTCCTGTTGCACTTCTTTATGCCCTTTTTTCACAGTAGTCCCTGGTTCTGCATGGGATAAATGATACGCTCAAATCTAGCTGGATGCGCTCTCACCTTTGCATGTGAGTACAGTAGTAGGAGCCCCCCGCTTCCTGCTCGCTACTGATACGAATAAACCAGCTGTGTTTTCGTGGGGTTTTCTTCCTTTAAGTCCACTTACTTGCAAGTGGCGTTCTTGCAGCTATCTTAAAGCTCTCTGCCGTAATCGGGTCTTGCTGCAATTTTGGAAAGAAACCAGAGGGGCGCCAACTTGAACGCGCGTTAGACAGCCGCGATAACTAGCCCATAGTGCCGCGTGGCCCCGATGAGCTGCGTTTCACAGCTTAGGATGCCGCAGACGAGCAGGAGAGCCCGAGGCAGCGTGCGTTTCGGGGACGGCGGGACGTTTCGGGGACGGGTCTCGCGGCCCTGCGCAGGCAAAAAAAAAAAAAAAAAAAAAAAAGTTCAAGGGAAAAGTGCAAGTGTCTCTTTGTGGGGGATCGTATCCGAGCTGTCCGTTCGCAGCCGATCCTCGCTCGCCCTTCTGAGGTGTTAGAAGTGCTTATTCCCGTCTCTCCTCCAAGGACCCTGGTTGCATTTGCAGTATATGATATCTGTGACTCTGGTCAGCGTGTATCAGCAGGGGACTCTACGAGTATGAAGGGTTTTTTGGTTTTTTTTGTTTTGTTTTTTTAATTAACGGGAAATAAAGCTGTGAACAGCGGTAGAAATATTGTATTTGTATACATTTTTAATATCCTGATTGCCTTAAACTCTAGATGTAGAACTTTATTACCGTGCTATTTGAAAATAACCCATGTTTGTAACTCAATAATTGTGTAACCTACATTCAGTGTTAATGCAAAATTACATGTACGCCTCTGTTAGATATTGTCACTTTACTTGATGTTGAAGTATTTCCTTTTTTTTTTTTTTTGAATTACAAATGGAATAATAACCTTATAGCATAAGCTCAGTTATTTCTTGTATATGCTTTAGGTTACGTATACAAATAGTGGCAACACTTGAAGCGAGGAGAGGAAATATATTTTTACCCAAACGCTCTGGTCTTTGAGTGGCCTTTTGTGACTTTGCGTTGCTGTTGCTGCCCTGGTAGGGTGTGACGGGAGGGGAAGAGGTTCCCGACGGGTTGCTGCTGGCCTTCCGGCCGTCTCCGCAGACCTGTGCTGGCGTTTGTCGGATGCCCTTCGTTGCCGTCGTGAACGTTTGCTTCTCTGTTGCCCCGGTGCAGTTGGCTTGCGTTAAACCTCCCTGCTGCGCTCTTTCCTTCACGGCTTATTTCCTTCAAAATGTTGTTCTTCCTTTCTTTCTCTCTTTCTCAGTCCCCTCCCATTTTTTTTTAATTTCAATTCTGAACCTCTTTTTTTTTTTCTCTCTCTCTCTTTTCTGTAGCTTCTTCTTTATGTAACCGTCATCTTGCCAAAGCCCCCACACCCTCTCTCCTAATGGACCGTAGCGCGCTAGAAGAGCCGGCGGCCGCGTGCAGCCGCCCGCGGGGAGAAGAGCCATCTCATTCCTCCATCACGTCCGCCTTTCTCTCCTCCCCTTTCTGTTTCCCACCTGTGGGTCTGCGGGTGCGCTGTGCTGTGTGTCTCGGTGAGGGCTCTGGCCGCACCGTCGCGGCTACCAAAAATGACGGAGGCGATGGCTGGCGGAGAGAGTGCGGCCGTAATCCAAGATATTGCACGTAACCCAAGATATTGCACTGGGATTTTTTTGCTTTGTTTTCTTCCTCCTCCCCCCTCCCGTTTTTCTCTCCTTTTTTGCCCTAACGTGCACGTGTTGCTGATGACAAAGAGCCTGATGGACTGTGGATCTGGGCGAGCGCACGTAACCAGAGGACTTCGTTTCCGACTCTGCTTTGGACGCCGCAACTTCAGCACAAGTATGTCCTGGGCAACATGCAATGAAAATGGGTCCGTAGACCTGGACGACGACTTCTTTTTAGCACGAAGTTGCATGAAGCAGAGATGGCGGCTGTCGCCCACTGTTGCGTTGATGGAATTTGTTCTGGCCGGAGCTGGGCTTTATTTTTTCCCAGCTCATCGACCTCTGTACAAGCAAAGTAGGTGTCGTGTCTTGAACGACTGAGCTGTACCAATTTGTGTTTCGATCGAGGGCTTCTTTTCATTCTGATGAAGACCAATTAGTGATTTTTTTATT